TCTCTCTCTCTTTAACTCTGCCTTTCAATAAATAAAAGAAATATTTAAAAACAAAAACCTAAGTACAAGAAATAGAGGAGTTCTAATGCTGCGTAAATACTGCTACACAAGGATTAACATTAGCATTTTTATGTTTAATACATCTAATGCAAAACAGGTGAGGAAGAAATTACTTCATGCTTGAACAAATGCCACTTAAAATTTAGAAGAATTCAGAGTGTGGTACCAAAGCTAATAATCTATGAGCTGTATTTTCCCAAAGGATATGAAGTAGTTATGAAGTTAAAACAAGTGCCTATTAAGTAGTAAATTAGGTACTAGAGTTATTTTTGTCAATACTTGCAAATTGCACAATAAATAAACCAAGAAAGCAAACAGAAAGGGCTCTGATGGGCTAATGTTTCCTAACCAAAACAAACAAACAAACAAAAAAAACCCCTTAAACAGATGCCTGGTCTCCTAATAGATTTAACAATAGGAAATTTAGGTGTGCATAGACGCGTACACCTGTAAGGCCACAAGAAGAGTTAATCTTAACACTGCAGTAACACAACCAAAATAATCACTATAACTATTTATTTGTCCTTTGAGAATCAAGAGCTTCAGGAGTAACAGCATTAACTTAAAGACTCCATATCTCTGAAAGCATTATATATGGGTTTTATTATTTCTTATCTTAAACATTTTTTAAAAGATTTATTTTTATTGGAAAGGTAGATACACAGATAGGAGGAGAGCCAGAGAGAAAGATCTTGCGTCCAATGGTTCACTCCCAAAGCAGCCGCAATGGCTGGAGATGAGCCAAGCTGAAGCCAGGAGCCAGGAGCCTCTTCCAGGTCTTCCATGTGGGTGCAGGGTCCCAAGGCTTTGGGCCATCCTCGACTGCTTTCCCAGGCCACAAGCAGAGAACTGGATGGGAAGCAAGGTTGCCAGGATTAGAACCAGTGACCATATGGGATTCTGGCATGTTCAAGGTGAGGACTTTAACTGCTATGCTATCGCACCAGGCCCAAACACTTTTAAACAAAGACACTAACTTGTCTATATATTGCTACCATACCCATTAAAGAGTTTAAAGTTACAGCCTTCTCATTAGATTAACTGTTGCTCTTTTTTAAAAGGTGCTTTATTGAGGTCTAATTGTTATACAGAAAAAATGCATACTTTAAATGTTAAATCTGATCATTTGGGGCATTCATACACACCCATGAAAACATCTTTACAGCAAAGATCATGAATATTATCATGCCCCAGAAAGTTTCCTAGTGTCTTTGATAATTCCTCCCTCACACTTACCCCTCTAAGCAATCATTGTTTGCCCCACCTTCAAGAAACACTCCATGATTTGGCTTTTGTCATTGTAGATTACTGAGTACTGGTTATTCACTTTCAAGGTAACTTTTACTTTTTAAAAGGCAGAGAGAGATTTTCCATCTCTTATGTCACTTCCCAAATATGAGTGATTTGCAGAGCTGGGCCAGATTTAAACCAGGATTGTGAAACTCTATCAAGGTCCCCCAGATGTGTGGCAGGGACCCAAGTACTTGAGTCATCACCCGCAGCCTCCCGGGTGCACATTAGCAGGAACCTCGAACGGGAAGCAGAACCCAGGCACTCCAATATGGGATGAAGCTGTCCCAAATGACATGTTAACGCTGTGCCAAATCCTCATCCTATTGTGCATTTTTTATTGTTTCACATTAATGAATGATCTGGTATGTCCTCTACTTCCAGAATTTTAGTCTCTCTTACTGAATGTAAGAAATTTGAGATTTTCTCTCTGTTGCTGCATATAGTAGCAGCCCATTCACTTTTTAAAGATTTATTTGTTTTTATTGGAAAGACAGAGAGAAGGAGAGACAGAGGAAGCTCTTCTGTCCACTAATTCACTCTCCAAATGGCAGAAACAGCTGGAACTGAGCCAATCTAATCTGAAGCCAGGAGCCAGGAGCCAGGAGCCAGGAGCCAGGAGCTTCTTCCGGGTCTCCCACACGGGTGCAGGGGCCCAAGGCTTTGGGCCGTCCTTGACTGTTTTCCCAGGCCACAGGCAGGGAGCTGGATGGAAAGCGGGGCCGGCAGGATTAGAACAAGCACCCATGTGGGATCCTGGCATTTACAAGCTTAACTATACAGTATCTCCAGATGGACTAGCAATTCAGCGAAGATAAGCATCAGGGAAAACACATTAAAGACATAATGTTTGTAAAAAAGAAGTAACAGGAACATAAAAGGCTATTATGTAGACACTAAGTTGGTAAAAGGAGCTTGATCATGAGGCCTTTGAAATTCGAGATTATGTTGGTGTTATTTACAACACAATGCCTAGAGCACAGCTCAATAAATAATACAGAAAATAATTACAGAAAAACATTAGCTTGTGGACAGTAATAAAACAATTTTTTCAAAAGAGGAAAAAGAGCTTTAGGTATAAAAATAAATATAAATATAGAAAAGCAAAGATTTGAAGTAAGGAAGAGAAAGGGAAGGAGAGGAAAGGACAAGAAGGCAGGAGGAGGCCATGAGACAGACCCACTTGTCAGAGAACGAGGAAGAGGAAACCATGACCAACACCCTACTTCATGGCCAGGACAAACCTAAAACAAACCTGAACTGCTACTTACCAGAGCAGAACATCCCCATCATCAAACCGAACCAAACCTAAGCAGAAAAATAGGAGAGGAAAAGAGAGAATATCTTCCCTGCTGTTGTGTCTGAATTGTAGGGTTTGGGGGGTCTTCTTTAGGGGTACTTGTTGTAGCTTGTCTGCTGTCACTCCCAGCTCTGACACCTCCACTGTGTGGATAGGAGAGGTGGCATGTGACTTAACCTTTCTGGAGGACATGAGCAGCTATAGCTGTACAATGGAGATGGTAATGCATGTCCCTTAGAGCTGTGTGAGGACTGAGTGAGACAAGGAATGGAAAATATCTGGCAAAGTGCTGCACATTACAAAAGCCTTGGATAATAGTGGTAATTATTTTGTTTTTTTCACATACCATCCACACATTCAGGCCTGTTTCTGCCTAAATAGCTAATAGAGGACTGCAGTAGAACTTATTTTTTCATGTATTTAGCCTGGTACATTTTGTTCTATCAGAACAATCAGCAGTACAGATAAGGTGGCCTCACCTGCTGTTCATTTGAAGCTTTTCTTGTTTTCTGGTAAAATCACAGATCAATCATTCCCATATGGAACTAGTGTTAGGGACTGTTCAGTAATAATAATGACTAATGCAGCTGATAATATATTATAAGCTTAATGCAGTATCGGGTATCATTAACCCCTTCAAGCAAGTGCAGAGAGTAAGTGCTGTTTGAAGAGCTTCCAACCTCAGTATAGTTCTTTGGGCTTGTCCCTTAAAATTAATTGTCAAATTCTTCAAAACTATCATGTGCCTTTCTCCGGACTTTCAGTCTAGGTCACCAATTGCAATCATTTATGTATTTCTTAAGAATACCAGTGCCCACAACCATTATTAATTCTTAGTTGATTACAATGCACAGTGAAGGTAAAAACAACAAATGAAGGGGAAAACACTGTTAGCTGCATCTATTATGAACTGTGCACCAATAAACAAAGAAAGCCAAGAATTACATGCATAATTACCGAGAGAATGTCTAAGACCCTCTCCTTCAAAGAAAGTATTTTTCTTATTATTTTGGCCATAGTATTGTCTTTTCTTCCCCCTCATCCTTGCTTCTTCTCATTTGTTTTTTCTTTTTAATTGCTCATTTCTGGCTTCATAAAGCTAAGACTGTCAGAAGCAGGTGTCTGGGTATTAAATTTAGAGTTTGTAGCTCAATCGGTTCACTGTACAACACAGTCACTATTTAGCAGCACTCTTTTCTTGTGGTATGGATCTTGTAAGATACATTTCTTCCACCTGTCTTCAATCTGTCCCATTGATCAACTCACTGTTGAGGCTCAGGCACTTGGCTCAGGCCCCAAATAATTGACAGATCCTGCTGGACCTACTGGAATCTAAAAGGAAAAGTCAGTTCAACACAAGTCAGTGGGGTCTAAGGAATAAAACCTTTTCTTTTCTAGTAATGCTACTGGAGTCAGAGTTCCAGAAGTTGCTTGAAGCCATCTTGTTTTCACTTGGTGTAGCTTGCAGTACAAGCTGATCGCAGAGAAAGCAGAAATGAGAGATGCAAAGAATCAGGGTCTTTCATCGCATCTCTGAAAGTTCAGTCACCAAGGACTGCATTAATCCTGAAGCCGCCTGCATTTCTGGCAGGAAAGTCAGTAAGTAATTCCCTTTATTAGTGTTTCAGCTAGTGGCAGTCTTTTTTTTTTTTTTTCAAAAAACCCAAACAAAAATCACAAGATTTATTTATTTTTGGAAAGGAAGATTTATAGAAAGAAGAGAGTGAGAAAGATCTTCCATCAGTTGGTTCATTCCCCAAATGGCTATAATAGCTGGAATGAAGCTGATTCAAAGCCAGAATCCTCCTCTAGGTCTCCCACACAGGCTCAGGGACTTGAGCCATCCACTGCTGCTATGTCAGGCCATCAGCATGGAGCTGCATCACAAGTGGAGCAACCAGGACTTGAACAGGCACTCCATGTGGGATGACAGCACTTGCAGGAGGAGGAGTAACCTGTTGAGCCGCCACACTGGTCCCCTGAGTTTTCTATTAGTTATAACCAAATGGATCCTGGAAGTTACACTGTAAATTTTATAAGAGGTAGTCCTGCATTTTAAAAGTGTATTTAACTACACTGGAAAAAGCTGAGTCCTATAAAAACTACATGCAAAAAAAAAAATAGACAAACCTTTTCAGTTATATTTATCAGCTATTACCTAACAACTGCTATTGATTTTGAGTTGTCTTGGCAAGAAATGTGGCAATCTGTGAAAGTCAGTTTATTTCTGTAATTATAGCGCAAAGCTTCAGTAGACTAAAACTTATTTTGTAGAAGGCTCTTAGCATGGGTTTAACACTAGATGTACAAGAAAGAACCTAGAGCAAATAAAACAGTAAAGCAATGCATATAATGCTGCAATGATTTTATTGAGGGCAGAAGAAAAACTTCCTAGCATATGTAAAAGGTTTTTATTTGCTTTATTTATACTCAGTACTTTTTCCCGCTCCTTGTGTAGGCTGAGTCTTTTTCCCCTTAAAATCTGTGTTTTTCTTTCTTCACATAATAATATCCACCACGATTGCACCTTAATTTGTAGGGAAATGGAAATCTTCAACAGGCTGATTGGGATGGGTCAGGCAACGGCTCCTTTCTTCGCAAAGATTCTGTTTATAAGAGAAAGAAAATCAAATGGGATCCTCAGGTTAACTTTTAAAACACTTTTTCAAGATATACTTTTGCCAAACTCATCCATAAATGTAAACTCTATGTATAAATATGAGCAGCTATCAAGAATAATAATGTGGACACAGTTATTTAGTTTGTCAACATTAAAAAGTAATATGTTTAGGAGTGGATAAGGGAAATCACAGGGCCTATGGAAATGTCATATAAATAATAAAAAGAAGTAAAATTTTTAAAAAAGCAATGTGTAAAGAAAAAGGCCAAATTAAAAAAAAATCCTTCATTCATAAACTGCTAAAGTACTTATTTACCACTGTTAGTTACTGCCAGCAAGCTGAAGATTTCTGGATTGAGTAATTTACAATAGAGGAAGCTATGTCTATCTTCATTCTATCCATTCCCACGTTCTCTTGGAGAGTCGCTGAACTGTGTTAGTCCACAATCAATTTATTTTTGTCTGTCACCTTCTTCTGCCCCTTCTCCACTTTCATTATGTACCACTTTGTGTGAAAACACTTCCGTGGTTTCAACAGTAAGAGGTAATATTAATGGGAAAAGATTCCTTGCTTCTGTCCTAATTTAGCTTCAGGCAGAAAAGAGTGAATAAACAGGGATTGGAAGAGTTCCCTTGGCTGTATATGAACATCTCATAAGTCTTGCAAATAAACAATCTCCTGTTTAGAAAATAAAGACCTTTGAGTACTATTATCCTTACATGATTCCTGTTCTGTTAGCATGACAGGGTTCTGACCAGTTGTTACCTAGTAAGTATTTGCCTTGCACTTGAAATACCTTGTATCAGACCAGATTTGAAAACAAATAACAATAAAAAATTAAATACATATCTTTCAATGGTATTACAAATTTGGTCTTTGAAAATAAACAAAGTCATCATAATCAACACATCAATCTATGCTTAGCTACTGATTTCAATATTTCTGACTAATATGTAAAAGTATGAAGACCATTCACCAAAAAATGAACAAAAAATGAAGCTCAAAGTGAGTTAACAACGCTCAGTCACTCTCCAAGTTAGCTAGTGCAGTAGCTTCTTAGACTCTTCCTCTTGATGTTGTAAACTATCTGAAACGCAACAGCAACACTTAATTTAATTTTAATTGGCTTTTAAAAATATTGCTTACATAATGGAGAGAGATGTATGTCTATGTGGGCTTCCAATTAGACTTAGAAGGGTCAGGTAAAGAGGAAAATGAGTGGGACAAATGTTTCAGTTTCTCTCTCTCTCTCTTTTAATTTCTCCTGTATCTGCAGAGGAGGTAAGGGAAGAGTATCATTTCTTGCTGTCAAATCACATCAGCACCCAGGAATGGGGGAATGGTCTCCTGACAACACCTTAGAGACCACAATGTGGGGAGAGTATTCCAAAGGTGTTGTTACTTAAGTGGTCTTGATAGCTCAACAAGTCATACTTCTTAAACTTAATCTTGATTATACTACTGTCTTATCTGGAAGCTTATAACAGCAAACACATCAAATTCAAATTGTGCATCTGAAACTCCTTACAACTAATAGTTGTTTCCAATATGCACTGTTTTTGCCCACACACTGTAATGTAGTCATCAAGAACCACAAGCTTACCCAGTGAACTGTAGTTATAAAGAAACACAAGCTCTAGAGTTCACTTCGTTCTTTTTACATTTCCTTCTGCCTATACATTGTCTATCTGCAGAGGACTCTGTTCTACCATGAATGATGAGCCTTGAAGTTATTTTTCATGGCTTTGCCTAATAATTGGAACCTATTTTGTAGGACTCCAGTCATGTCAGAAGCCTCTCCAAATGTTTAGTGTTTTTATCATTTCACCAACTAAAGTACTGTGTGTATCTTTTCTCTTCTGTATCTGAACATATTTCCAAGCTGTCTCTAACAACCACAGCTCTGTTCAGGAACTAAAAGTTTATAGAGTCTAGGGCTCTATACCCCTTTAAGTTTCAGATTTGATTTTTCACCAGTTTTTCTCAGACAGGTCCAAGCTATTTTGCCACATTGCTCTCTGAGGCCACCTTATGTCAACCAGTTTTTCTGCTATCTCCTGCTCGTCTGTCACCGACTTTGTTCTTAGTACCAGGCTCAAGGAACACACAATTTTCTCCCCTCCACACTGAGAAATTCAGGGGATAGAGAGTGGGTTTTAGGGGAAGGGGCCCTTGAAAAAAATATTTTATTAAAGTGAAAAATTTAAGACAAATGACATACCTAACACTCTTATCAAAACCTATGGATTTAACAATGAACAGCTACTATATTTTTAAATAATTATCAAAGTACCCAAAATAGAAAATTGTGTATGAAATGAGAATTGTTTTTAAAGGAAACAAAGGAAGGAAGTAAAATTCTTCTCATTATACCAAATGATTTTAGAGAACAACACCTTATACAATTTCAGCATATATTAGAATTCATGTTTAAATCTGCTGGAAATTAAGTGACTGGATATAATGTATACTTTTTTGTTTTTAGATGTTTAAGTTAATAGAAGCTAGGACAGAGAAAGCAATAAGAAAACACTTTTCTGTGAAGAAAATAATGTATCTACTCTATGACAAGAACAAAAAGTATAATATTGTTGAATTCTCCTTTCAAACACAGTATCTCAAAAAGACATTTCATTCTAATTCATAGCCTCACATACTTTTGGACTAAAATGTAATAATCCACATTTTTCATCAACCAAGATCACATGTATCTTGATTATTGATTTTTGGGGGTGTATTTTTTAATAAGAAGTTTTCAAATGATACTACAATAAAACTTCCCTTCAAAATGTATTTTTTTATACATAGGTACAGAAAATTTCAGAGTGGCAGGTATAGAAAATTTCTGAGTCATGTATTTCCATATCAATAATACAATCCAAAGCAAGATTTTGGCCAAGACAAAAGTTTAAACTCAAGAAACACAGGTAACTACTAAAATTGTGATGTTTTGGTTAACTAGGAACTGTTTGCATGAATAAACAACATGCTTTAGGGCTATGACTTACAATTCTTTAACCAACATATTTATCAAAGGACATCTTCAATGGAACCTTAATATATAACATATGAGAGAAATGACAGAAGAGTCTAGAGGACCTTGGGTCCCTCCCATCCATGGCACGTTCACTCATTTTTCACTGCATTCTTTCTGTGTCTAGTTCTGATGGATCCAATTACCTTCAATAGCCCCAAAGGAACCCCTAAAGAAACCTGCAGTGCCACAGTTCACTCTCAGACAGCCATTGCTCTTGAGATATCTAACAGGTGTAGAATTTTGTCCTCTTTTAAAAACTGTTTGAAGTAATTTAAAAGGACTCAGAGCAAGCTAGTTGACAGAGAATCCTCAGTTTTCATTCACCTTTAGAAAGACATTGAGCTTATTTTAAAAGTTTACATTCAATTTTACACAATCATATTTACTGAATATCCTAACATGTATTTTGATTCTGCTTAAAATTCATGGGGACTAACTAGAGAACCAGTTCTTGCATGCTACTGGAAAAAGCCTAAAGTCAAAAGATGACACGATGGACACAAATATTTGCTTGACAGCTTTGTATTATTAAGTGTACACACACACACACACACACACACACACACACACACGTAAATGATAAAACAAAAACATGTTACATTGGTTTGTTCAACAATTCAAAACTCAATTATCATGAGGTTTCTGTTGTAAGACTACCATGTAATAAGTTGAAGATTAGAAAACAGGTTAAAAATGACAGTAGAGCCATGAGGGGTTCAGGAGATTAAAAAAAAAGAAACAAGCTTCCACCCACTGTTCGCCCCCCAAATGCCTGAGATGGTCAGGCTTAGCAAAGGCTGATGCTGGGAGCTCACAGGAAATTAATGCAGATCTCCTACTTGACAGTCAGAAACCCAAGTATCTGAGCCACCACTGCTATCATACAGGGTCTGATTTGCAATATGCTGAAATAAGGAGCAGAGATGGTTATAAATCCCAGGCACTCTGACATGAGGCATCAATGTCTTTATCACTAGGCCTAACACCTCCCCTTAATTATTTTATGATTTATTTGTTTACTTAAAAGGCAAAGTTATAGAGAATGACCCAGACCAAAAGAGAGGTCTTCCATCTACAGGCTAATTCACCAAATGATCCCCTACATCCATTTTTTAACCAATGAAGGATCTTGAGGGAGAGGAAAGAGATGTAATATTCCTAGATAGTGTTGTCCAACAGAAAAAATCATATGCAACATACTTCATTTAAAAATTCCACTATTCACACTTTAAATAGTAGAAATAAAATAATTTTAATAACATTTTATTCACTATATTAAAGATCATTTTTAACAAAATCAACAGAAAATTATTAATGAGATAATTCATCCTTTTTCTTCCTTCAGCTAAGTATGAAATTCAATGAGTCTCCCTTAACTACATCTCAATTCAGACTACTCATGATCCAGGCACTCAGTTGCCAAAACTGTTGTGAAAAACTGAGCAGTCGCTTAGCACAAGGGAAGTTCAATGTGTAACAGCCTTAGAAACAAAAAGCCGCTGAAGTGAGGAATTGAGAACAATTTCTAAAACCATTCTCAATAATTTTGAGACGTGAGGACACTGAAAAAAATATAAGTTCAAAATACTTTTTAGGGTGAAATATATCAAAAGTTGAAATGGAAAGACTATTTTTAAATATGTTCAAAACCATACACAAAAATGTTAACAAGGATAGTAAAAGTATTTCCTTCCCTAAACATATTAAGAAATCAGGCGTTTGTTTACCGACATAAGATGCCTCAATTTATCTGATTATTATTGTTGTTACTTTTTTTGCCTCTTCCTGTTGAAGACAAGTTTTCAGACAGCAACTTTCTCTGTGTTTTTCTAAGATGAAAACTTCTGCATGAGTAACATATGGTCCCAAAACATATTTCAGTAAGTCACTATGTTGTTTTAATTCAGTTCTTGGAAGATATAGGATACATGGTAACTTTCTTTTAATAAGCCACACTTTATTTTTATCTTTTTAAAGATTTACTTATTTATTAGAAAGCTGAAGTTACAAAGAGAGAGAGAGACAATCATTCATCTGCTGGCTCACTCCCCAGATGGCTGCAATAACCAGGGTTGGGCAGGCCAAAGCCAGGCGCCAAGAGCTTCATCCAGGTCGTCCACGTGGGTAGCAGGGGCCGAAACATTTGGGTCATCTTCTGCTGGTTTTCCTGGGTCATTTAGCAGACAGCTACGTTGATACAGTAGCCAGGACTCAAATCAGAATCATACGGGATGCCTTTGTCACAGCCAGCAGCTTTACCAGCTAAACCATAAAGGCTGGCCTGGAGATTCCTTTAAATCTAGAAATGGAATCGCCTTATGATTCAATAATCCCACTACTGGGCATATGCCCAAAACATGAACTCACTGCATCAAAGAGACATTTGCTCCATAAGTATATAGCAGCACTGTTCACAATAACCAATATATGTAATCAACCAAGGTGTTCACCAACAGATGACCAGAAGAAAACATAGGATACACACACAATGACATATTTAGCTATGAAAAAGAAAAATCCTGTCATTTACAGCAAAATGCACAGAAATGGAGGACATCACAATATGTAAAATAAGACACAGGAAGAAAAATACCATATATTTTCTCTTACATGTTGAAACTAAATTTAACATTTGTGACAAACATATTAATATGAAATACTGAGAGGAAGCAGAGTGAGGGAAACATGGGACCTCTGTTACTACCTCATAATTTTTGTATTGTAAACTTAAAACTACTCTGAAACACAATGCTACAAAAAAAGAAAATGCCATTTTACATAAAACATAAGAAAGAATTAAAATTAAGCAATAAAAAAAATCTCAGTAAATCAGGTGGCTATTTTCTACTTCTTTATAAAAAATTACCTTAACCTCTGGTAGAAGCAGCAGCTATAGAAAGAAATGGTTAGAAAAACTTTTGGGGAAAAAAAGTTCAGTGGAAGTCTTTTGTAAATGTGGTATAATCGCAAAACTTTCTAGATATAATTTAGAGAATCATTTAAAATACACTATTATGAGTTGTGTTTTTGCTGTATATGGAAACCACAATAATTACCTTCTCATATTAGTTCCGAGCCCTTGGAGGTTGATAAAACTGCTGGGTTGGCCGAGTCGATCGTCTTGGCTGGCCGTCACCTCCTCTACGGAATTCAAGAGTTTGGTCGTAGGTGCCTTCTTCCTCCTATTTGCAAAGAGCAGGGATTTAACATGTTCATAATAGCTCCAAGTTTTCTACATTACGCTTATGGATCTCATTTTAATAAAACCTTTTAAAGCTGCCCTGGGACTACATCTGTCAATTGTTACAACAGAGGGAAGTAAGGTAAAGGGAAAAAACAAAAAGTCAGGGACATCGTTAAAAGTATTTTGGGTCCTTGGTAATAGTAGACCATAGTCTATAAGAATGAATATTGATTTTAAAGAAACTATTTTCAAAAAATTATCGCATCAAATCGCTTAACAAAATATTGTAAAAACACAGAAAAAAAAACAGCTTTCTAGTAACAATTTTCCAGAATGTTTGTGATTCTAAATATTTCTTCTTTTTGTATCATTGTTGCTGTAAATTAACTCATATCAATAAATTTTCATATTGAAAATTCTTGAGATAGCTTCAGCACATCAAATCTTCATATTTTATGAAGTCCCTGATGTTCTAGCTGATTCTGGAAATATTTGTAAGTATCTATCACAGCAAGGAATTTTGATAAAATATAGTAAGGGTTGAGGCGCCAGAGAATGTCCATAGACTATCTTCGTCTGATGAAGTTTCCAACATTGTTAAGAACCTTACATTTAGAGACAGGAGAAAAATAAATAATTGAAATGGGGAGGTACAATTTACACATAAAGAAAACATCATGCAAAATAGAGAGATCAAAAGGGTCAAAGCTATTATATTCTCCACATTCTTACTGATGGGGAGATCTAACAACTCAACAGCATGGAGAAATTAGGATAAGCAGATTAAACAGCAGAAAGAGTATAGTTAATCATAGTATTTTATTTAAAGAGGATTTAGAGGCAACAAAATATAGCCAAAAGCCACACTGGTTTCTTACTGAATGCTGCCACCTTGTTATTTTAATGCTGTGAATTAATGGGACTATGAATTATGTGCTATATTAAAGACACAAAAAATTAGCCCTCTGTTTTGTTTATAAGTTCTTTACTAAACACAAAGTTTAAATTCCAACTGAATTATGACAGCACCATATTTTGCATGATTCTGGATATTTATCATATTTTTCTTCATCTTCTTTTTATGTATGAATCTTTTTTCCCAAAGATTGTTTTTCTTTAATGCTGTACATAACAGGAAATAATTTTATTCTTTAAATTTTATAGATAAAACTGTTCAATTTTACCTGATGGAAACAAAGATGTTAAGACTGTTAGGTCAAATCCTATTTCTTAGCAATGATACTTAATAATTGGAATGACACAACTATTATTTTATTAGATATCCTGTATAATATTAAGAAAGAACCATTATTTTACTCTGATCTAGGGACAATGAAGACCAGAAAAATTTTATGATTTTGCATTAAAACTTTTAAGATGAATTTGAGCTTTAAATTCAAATATTGCTAGTTTATGTCTTTAAGTGTCACTGTGTAAAACACAACAAACAAGTAGCCGAAAACTAATGGTTTTCCTCAAAGGATTATTATGATTGAAATATGGGAGTGGAAATTTGACAATACTACTGGCATAATTCAGTAGTCAGTTTTATACACAATTTCCAGATGAGCTCTTCTTCCCCCAAACTCCGTTTATTAACAGTCAATCTTAAAATGGTTGAAAGCATCAGACATTATGTCTGTAATTTAGTGAGGCAGTCAAAATGCAAAAAAGAAAAATTTTTAAGTATTCAGGAAAAGAGAGAGTTATTATTCTGGCCACTGTTCTGAATGGTAATTATCAAATATCATGGCTAGAACTGAAAAGGAACTGTCAATTTCATGAAAAATGACAATATTTGAAGTTTTCCATGCTAACAGAGTAAGAATGAATATATTTAGCGCTTTGGGAGATGGGAAATTGTTTCAGAAATTAGAGTGGAATGTTATTTTTCTCCTCATCTTGGTGCAGAAATGACTGGAGAACATCAAAACATCTGTAACTTACCAATAAAATATACCAGTAGAAGTAAGATACTGAGTGAAATGGATTTATACAAAGAAATGACACTGCTGCTTGAACTGCTGTCTCTTCTCTGTTTACAACACTCACAGACTACACTATCCAGAGCCAATTAAATAGTTTGACAGAGATGACCAACCATGAAATTTATTTCACTTATTTCACTTAATTTGACATCTTTGCAAAGTTTCTACACAAGGTAAAAGTAAAACAAAATCAGAATGATACTGACAATTTGGTTTTCAGTTATTGCTAAAGGTACACTGTGTGCCTTTAAAACATCTCAATCCCTAAGCAAAGCATTTGAGGGCCAATCCTGTTACCAACAAGCATTCCTATTTCATATAACAGCTCAATTCAATAAATCATTTGAGTTACCTTTGAAATTAATATCTGGTTCTTCTTCTAGCCTATCCTTTAGGTTCGCTACTCACTAATAAACTTAGAACACAAGGAAATAATTTTAATTTCATAGTTCGTAAGTTTTTACATGTTTTGAAAAATGACACTAAAGTAGAGCTGGCATACAATCCTGTAAGGCCATCTGTAAAGGTGCGGGGGTTTTCTCAAGTCAAAGCAATTAATGGAGTGAGGGGCCAGTGCAGAGCCATTCTGTTTCTGACCCTCACAGCAGGTTCTTCAAAAGACTTGTGATGGAGCTAATGTCTTTAACTAGGTTTTTGCTTTTTAGGATCATATTACCAGTAAACAAATCTTTGCTTGTCACAGAGATTTGATTATTGCTTATAGCTCTGGTCTATACTTATGAGAAGAATGTTTTTTCTATTTACTACTTGTTGAATTCTTTATTTAATGGTGAGTTAAGCTTGTGATAATAAAGTAAGTTGAAAGTATGTCACTGTATAAAACACAAATGGAAAGAGGGAGAAGGGTGGACGAAAGAGGCAGCAAGGAAGGAGGCAGGGTATAACAGGAAGTATTACTATGTCCTTAAAATTGAGTATATGAAATACTTGAAATTTGTTCCCTCTATAAAATGAATAAGTTTAACATTTTTAAAAATGCTAAACCAGTATTCAAAGAGAGTACTTCTCATGCCAGATTTAATTATTTATTCTCCTTAATGAAAAAAAGTCCACAAAAATGCAAGTCATTGTGGCACCAATTATGAGTGAGATGCATTTTGAATCAAAATACATATATACAGAAGGAGTGAGATACCATGTGCTCTCAAGGCACACCCAATGGGGGCCTATAGTTGTTCTGATCAATAGCCATGAAAAGAACATGTTAGGCCTCTCTAGATTATTCTTCCAACCAGGATTAACTGAAGTAATTTCCAATGAGGGACCATCAGCATCAGAACTCTGAACAGAATCCTTTCCCAGGTTCCTAAATGACTGGAGGAATGATCTGCTATTGCTCACAGCTGACTGGGACTTTAGAGGGATGGAATTTGGAAGCTGAATTCTTAGTAAACCTGTAGTTAGGACATAATTCCTCCCCCCATCTCAATGTGACTTGTGGCAAAATGAAGTTGAAAACCTTCCTCAACAGCATCAGAAGAGGAATATCAAGAGGTTTTGTAACTGACACTTGGGCTTCTGTTATTAGTACTTAGAGTAGTAATTGCAAAATTTAAGAGGTTAGCAAAATTACCCTAGCAATTTGCTTAAAATGTCCAGTTTCAGCAGTCTGCCACTTCAAACTTGCAACTCAGGTAAGGCTGTGGCAGCAAAGATGGACAACCTTCACAAACTTGAGCTAGAAGCTGTTCATAGCTTTCTGGCCTTACTCTGCAAGTGTTCCTCACTGCACACTGGTACTCTAAGATGGTGGATACATAACTTATTAATACATTTGATAAATCATATCTTTTTTGCATTATCATCTTCATCTATAAATAGTACATATTTTATTTAAAATCAAAACACAAACTACACATTCCCCACTTATATCTGGGCTGTGACATAAAAGTATACCTGTAAACAGGTTAATCAGAACCCTGAGCATTCTTATTGAAGACATAAACTACAAGTCAGCCTATCCATTTCACAAACATTAAGGTCACAAACAGCATAGTATATAAGCCAGCATCCTTTAGAGTTGAGTTAGATCCCTGGTTCTCAAGGAGGAACCATTGTTTCCACCGAGCTGAGCATTAGGTAATTCCAGGGTGGATGTTAGTAGGAGGAGCTGTTAGTGCATCTACTGAGTAGAGTCAGCAATGTGACTATACATTTTCCAATGAACATTCAGCCCACAAAGTTGAGAAACTCTGGCTTAGCCCAATGCCCACCAGAGTCACATTATCAATGCTGGACCTTAGTTTATCAGCAATCTTTCTGTAAGAAATACATTCCACTTCAATATTTATGGCTCTACCACAAAATAAACTGGGCTCAGGGTAGCCCAGAACCACAGATTGTAAACTAGATGGTTTCTGTGAAGAGCAGTCAGTTCAACTACTAAGAAGCCATTATTTGCTTCAGAGATAAGAGCCACACCTAGACTAGAAGTTGAATCAGCCTTTCAGTATGCTTCTGAACAAGGAGGGCAAGGAGTAGACCAAACATTTAACAACTGGGAGAGTAATAAGAGGTTCTCACACAGCACATTTGAATTTTATTATTATTTACTGAGGGGAGAGGGGATACAGCACTTTAGTGGAATTTAATGTAGAATCACAATATAAAATAAATAGGTTTCAATTAAAACGGAAGTTTCTACACATGTGTGAGCTTGCTTTTTTTTTTTTCTTCAATGCCTCTCAACTTGTAATGTGTGAAGTACAAAAGTCAAAACTCAAATGTAGCTCACCCTCTGCTATCCACTAGAGTAAGTGGGGGAAGTCCCTGATTATTATAAGAAGTGAGTTGTTCAAGACACTGCAATGCAGACCTCAGAGACCTTTCCCATTGGCTTTCAATCACACACACACAAATCTGTAGTCCAACCAAAGTCTTAATTTGATTATATAAACTCACCTTATATACTTATATACTTAGGAAAAAAATCCCCAGAGGTTTTATTAACAAGAGGAAGTTTTATGAAATATAATCAAACGCAGTATAT